TTTTATGATTAAGACCTATCAGAACTCTCATTAAATCTTAGTGTCTGCATTATTGGTGTCCTGTTCAGGAAGTTGTCTCCTGTGCCAATGTGTTCTATGCTGTTTCCCACTTTCTCTTCTGTCAGGTTCAGTGTCTCTGGATTTATGTTGAGGTCTTGAATCCACTTGGACTTGAGTTTTGTTCAGGTGATAGATATGGATCTATTTATATTATTCTATATGCCAAGATCCAAAATGAACCAACATCATTTGTTGAAGATGCTTTCTGTTTTTCATTGTAAAATTTCACCTTCTTAGTTGAAAAGCAGGTTTCATAGTTGAGTGGATTTAAGTCTTTTCCTTTGATTTCATTCCATTGTTCTACCTGTCAATTTCTTCTTTGTTTGGTTTTGGGGGATTTTTGGGGGGGTGGAGGTGACTTGTTTGTTTTGTTTCTTTGCTTTGTTTTGTTTTGCCTTTTTAAGACAAACTTATATGATTTTATTCCAGTGCCATGTGGTTTTCATTACTATAGCCCTTTAATACAGCTTGTAATCTGAGATGGTGATAACTCCAGACATTCTTTCATTGTACAGAACTGTTTTAGCTATACAGTTTTTTTATTTGTTTGTTTGTTTTCCCATAAAAAGCTAAGCATTGTTCTTTAAAGGTCTGTAAAGAATTGTCTTGGGATTTTAGGGGTGATTACATTAAATCTGTAGTTTTTGGTAAGATTGTCATTTTTCTGTGTTAATCCTATGGATCCATTAGCATGGGAGGTTTTTCAATCTTCTGATATCTTCTACAATTTCTTTTTTCAAAAACTTGAAGTTTTTATCATACAAATATTTCACTTGCTTGATAAGAGTTACAGCAAAATATTTTCTATTATTTGATGTTATTGTAAATGTTGTAAATTCCCGGATTTCTTTCTCAGCCTTTTTTACCATTTGTATCTAAGAGATTTACTGACATTTCTTTTTTCAAGTTAATCTTGGATCCAGTCATTTCACTAATGGTGTTTCTCAGCTGTATGATCTGTCTGCTAGAATTTTGGGGTTTGTTATGTACATTATCATATCATCTGTGAGTAAGATACTTTGACTTCTTCCTTTCCAATTTGTATCACCTCAATGTCCTTTCATTGCCTTATTACTCTAGCTAGAACTTAAGGTACTATATTGAATAGATAGGGAAATGGAATGGAAAGCCTTGTTTTGTTCCTGATTTTAGAAGAATTAGTTTGAGTTTCTCTCCACTTAATTTGCTATTTGCTATTGACTTGTCGACATTGCTTTTATAATTATATTTAGGTTTTTCCCTTGTATCCCTGGTATCTCCAAGACTTTTATCATTAAAAGGTGTTGGATTTTGTCAAAGGTTTGTTCAATATCTAATGAGATGACCATTTTTTCATTTTGTTTATAAACTGGATTACCCAGATGAATTTTCATATGTTGAACCATCACTGCATATCTGGGATGAAGCTCACTTTTTTGTGGTAGGTGATCCTCTTGATGTGGTGTTGGATTTGGTTTGCAAGAAACTTACTGAGTATTTTCACATCTATGTCATGAGGGAAATTCATCTTCAATTTTCTTGTTTTGTTGAGTCTTGAAGTGGTTTTGGGTACCAGGATGACTGTAGCTTCACAGAAAGAATTTGGGAATTTTCCTTCTGTTTTTATTCTGTGGGATATTGGTATTAGTTCTTCTTTCAAGATCTGGTAGATTTATGTACTAAGGCCATCTGGCCCTGGGCTTTTTGTTGTTGGGAAAGTTTTAATGACTGCTTCTATTTCCAAGGTGTTATATAGGTCTATTTAAATTGTTTATCTGATTTGGTTTAATTATGGAAAAATGTATCTGTCATGGAAATTGTCCATTTCTTTTAGATTTTCCAATTTTGTGGAGTACAGATTTTTTAATTATAATATAGCAGTCCCCTGGATTTCCTTAGCACTGGTTGTCTCTTTCCCCTTTTGTTTCTGATTTTGGTAATTTGGATATACTCTCTGTGTCTTTTAGTTAGTTTGGATAAAGGTTTATCTATCTTTTTTATTTTCTCAAAGAATCATATCTTTTCTTCGTTGATTCTTGTATTGCTCTCTCTCTTTCCATTTTATTGGTGTCAATCCTCAGTTTGATTATTTACTGCCATGTGCTTCTTTTAGGTGTGTCTGCTTCTTTTTCTTCTAAAGTGTCCCAGTGTGCTAAGTCACTGGTATGAGAATTCTCTTAATTTGTTCATACAAGCACTTAGTGCTATATATTTTCTTCTTAGCAACACTTTTATTGTGCCCCATAAGTCTGAGTAGGTTCATTTTCATTGAATTCTAAGGAGGCTTTATTTCATTATTTCTTTCTTGATCCAGTGGTAACTCATTAGAGAGTTGTTTATTTTCAATGATTTGGTTTGTTTTTATTGCTTGTTTTGTTGTTGAAATGCAGCTTTAATCTCTGGTACTCTGATAGGATACAGAGGGTTATCTCAATTTTCTTGTATCTGTTGAGATTTGCTTTGTGAGTGAGTATATCATCCATTTTGGAGAAGGTTTCATGAGTTGCAGAGAAGAAGGTATATTCTTCTGTTTAGATGAATTGTTCTATAGATATCTGTTAGGTCCTTTTGAATCATACCATCTATTAGTTCCCTTATTTCTTTGTTTAGTTTTTCTCTGGGTGACCTGTCTATTGGTGAGAGTGGGATATTGATGTCTCTCACTATTAATGTGTTGGCTTTGGTGTGTGATTTAAGTTTTAGTGTTATTTCCTTTACAAATAAGGGTGCTGTTGCATTTGGGGCAAGATGTTCAGAGTGGAGACATCATTATGGTAGGTTTTTCCTTTAATGAATATGGAATATCCTTCTCCATCTCTTTTCATTAATTTTGATTTGAAGTCTTCTCAGGTCCATTTGTTTGGAAAATCCAACCCTGCAAATTTAGGTAATATCTACATTTGATGTTTAGGTATGTTTCTTGTATGCGACAAATGGAAGGATCCTGTTTTTTTAATTAATTATGTTAACCTGTATCCTTTAATTGGGGAGTTGTTCATTGATGTTGAGGGGTATTACTGATCACTAATTGCTCCTGTTATTATGCTGGTGATGGTCATATTGTGGGTGTGTATTTTCCTATATGTTTCTCTTCTTTGGGTTTTGCTGTTGTGATATTATCTATTCCTTATATTTATTTGGGTGCAGTTAAATGCCTTGGGTTGGATTATTCCTTCAAGTACCTTCTACAGGACTGAATTTGTAGACAGATATTGGTTAAATTAGACTTTGTCATGACATATCTTGTTTTATCTTTCTATGATTGCATTTGTTCTTTCTGGGTGTGTTAGTCTGGGCTGTCATCCCTGGTACATTAGAGTCTACAAGAAATCTGTCTAGGCCATCCTGAACTTTAGAATTTCCATTGAGAAGTCAGGTGTGATTTTAACTGGTTTGCCTTTGTGTGTTACTTGGCTCTTTTCCCTTGCAACTTTTAATGTTCTTTCTTTGTTCTTTATGTTTAGTGTTTTGATTATTAGATGATTCAGGAACTTTCTTTTTTGATCCAATCTGTTTGGAGTTCTGGCAGCTTCTACATTTTTAAACATATTATTCTTCATGTTTAGGAAATTTTCCTCTATGATTTGGTTAAATATATTTTCTGGGTTTTTGAGGTGGAATTCTTCTCCTTAGTCTAATCCTTTTATTCTCAGTATTGGTGTTTTCATGATGTCTCTGATTTTGTGGATGTTTTGTGTTAGTAGTTTTTTTGTTTGTTTTGTTTTGATCTAAATTTTCCTGACAAATGAATATCTTTCTTCTATTGTATATTCAGTGCCTGAGACTTTTCTCTTTTATCTGGAATTGTGTTGGCAATGCTTGCGTCTATAGTTCCTGTCATTTATCTAGATTTTTTCCATTTCATGAATTCCCTCATTTTGTGTTTTCTTTATTGCTTTTATTTTGATTTTCATGTCTTGAATAATTTCTTTCACCTGTTTGTTTTTTCTTGGCTTTCTTGGCATTCTTTAATGGATTTGTTGATTCCTTCTAAATTTTTTGTTGTCTTTCCCTCCATTTCTTTAAAGAGCTTTTTTTTTCATCTCCTTTTTTTTCCTCAATATATGTTTTCATTTAAATTAGAAACATGAATGCTTCCCATGTCAATCCCAGCTCCCTCTCCCATCCTTCCTCCCTTGTCTCTCCGCCAGCCTCCCCCAGTCCTCCAGCCCATCCCCACATCATTCCCCAGGGAGGGTGAGGCTCCTTGGGAGGTTCTCCAAAGTCTGTCACTTCATCCAGGGCAAGACCTAGGCCCTGCCCCATGTGTCCATGCTGAGAGAGCATCCCTCTATTTGGAATGGGCTCCCAAAGATCATTCATACACTATGGTAAACACAGACCTATTACCCACGGCCCCATGATTTCTGTGGCTTCCTCACTGGTACTACATTCATTTAGTATGGATCAGTCCTCTGTCCCTGTTGGCCTCTTAGCCATCAGTCTGGGATTCAAGAGTGCACCCTTATCCAGTCAGCTGTCTTTGTGGGTTTCACCAACATGGTCTTGCCCCCTTTGCTCATCACTCCTCCATCTCTATTACTAGGTTCCAGAAGTTCAGTTCAGAGTTTAGTTGTGGGTATCTGTCTCTGTTTCCATCAGTCACTGCATGAAAGTTCTAGGATGGCATATAGGGTAGTCATCAAATTTATCATCAAGGAGGGGCTATTAATGTAGTCTCTCCACTATTGCTTAGTTTATCATAATCATAAATTTGGTTTTAGGAAAGATCATTTTCTTGTGTTTCTGCTGAGTTGGAATACTAAGGTCTCGCTGTAATGGGATGGCTGCACTCTGGTGGTAACATATTGTCATGTCTAATGTTGTTTGTCTTTTTAAACTTAAGTTTAGACAACTGGATATATTTTAAGTGACTAGAGGTCTAGGTGGCAATTTCTAAAGTTGTGTTTACTGGATGCATGTTTTCTTCCTTAGTTTCTGTTTCCTCTCTGGTTTTCTAGATCCCATGACCTGTGATTGAGTAGAAGATCAACACCCAAGATAGAAAATGGACTTTTGATAGCCTGAATGGCCTCTGGTCATATATGTGAGTACTGCAGTGTGGGGGCAGTATTACCTTGAGTTCAGGATACTTATCTGGCCTCTGGGGAATGATGAGACTTCCACCAGAAGAATATGCTAGGACATAGTGACAAGCCAGGAGGGATGATTGACGTTAGGTTAGGCAGGCATGAGTGGGGCTTGGGGGCAGCCTTGACTGAGGCTCAGGATGCTGGCCATAACTCTGTGGTGTGAGAGGTTTCTGTGGTGTATGTCACAGGGCCTAGGTTTTAGTTTATATATCTACTAATTTTTAAAAATATTTTCTTTTTAAAAGCTCTGCTTTAAAATGCAAAGTCAATAAAGTCACACTCAGGTCTTGGGGTCTTCCATACTCCAGTGGAGGACATGTATGTAATAAAAGTTAAGTGTATAGAAGGTACACTAATTAACGAGACACATAATTATGTTGTATCTGAGGTATAAAACATGTCCTAACATAGACCTAAGATGATATCAAAACAGGATTGTCACTTGAGTTTCATATTAAAAGGATAAATGGAATATCTTGATAAGGAAGCCACAGGTAATATAACAGATGACTGTATCTTATTATATACATTATAGAAGCAAGAGAAATCCAGGTATGTCAGAAAAAGACCTGTGTATGTTCATGTCAGTGAAGTTGTGGATAACACTGCAGAAAATAGGGAGTGATTAAATACATGGAATCCAAATGAGAAAACCTTCTCAGTTAATACTTTTGAATTAAAGAAAACATCAAATCATTGAAATTTTAGGATTGGGAGTGTATTTAGTGAATAATGAACCACCCATGTTTATTGTTCAAAATCTTTTTGTACCCCAATCAAAAGAGGGGTAGAAGGCAAAAGACTCAGTTACCAAGATACAAAGATAAAGCAAGCTTGATTACCTTCTCAGTACCCAAGACATCAAGAAACCATATCCTGAGTTAAGTATTCTGTTGATTAGGAAGAACATGCCATGTCCACATCCTAGCCCAAACATCCTGTTGCATTCACATCATAGGCCAGACATCCTGTTGTCAAGGTAAGATACACATAGCTACACCATAAGCCAAATATCTGTTATTTCACCTTGAAATAGCAAGGGGAGATAAAAATCTCACTCACTTTAAGTCAAAATGAAGCAGAGCCATTCTTATGGGCCCCAACAATTCCTCCTTCTTAATTTAGTTAATAACATCTGTACTTCTGCTACAGGGCAGATGACTGTGTCTACCGTAGGTTGTATTTCTCACCCTTCCAGACTTACCCTTCATGGGAGTACCCACTTAATCTTAGGTGGACTTGAGGCAAAAAGATCTTACCAACCATTGACTACCAACCTCTGTTTATAGAGAATTAAGCCAGAGTGAGTAATTTAAGGCTGTGCACCTCTGAGTTCAACTCCATCAAAAGTTCACAAGCAACTTGACATTGCCAAGCAATATCCATGCTCCTATGGCTACAATACCTTCTATTAAGATTAAATGGCCTTTTTAAATTGGTCCAGGATGTCTCTGGTAGTTTTAGCTGCAACAAGATCCAAATCTGCCTTTTTAATCACATCTAATCTAAACACTCATTTGTATTAAGCCAAACTTCTCTCCTATTGAGCTCTGACTTTTTTTCCATCTATCAATACTTTCAAATTATAGTAAAGGTTGAATAGTCACAGGTCAATACCATAATGCCAGTATGATTATTAACAGTAGATACACAATTGGCTAGATTACAATTCTCATAATTTTGATTCAATAAATGGATAATAAAAAGTTCTTGTGATGGGTGAAAGATGATTTTTCCTCTTTTTAAAGTTCAATGCATTGTGGCTTCTAACTTTGAAAGATAAGTTTGAAATGTTACAGTCATTGAGAACTGAATACCAGGCAAGCAAAGCATTTGTACTATTCATCCCTATCAATTCAAGTGGGGAGGCCCTTTAGTGTCCTCCAATTTATTTTATTGACCAGTCTAGTACTTAATTCTGGATTCTAGGAATATTGTACTGGAAAGAGGCTTTAGCTACACATCACCTCCACAGTACTGTTTGACTGTCCAAATGTGTTTCTTTCCCAGGGAAGTCTCTGAGGCACCTGTTTTCTAGGATTTTTATTTCAACAGCAAGAATGAATTTTAACTGGCAAAAATTGTGTTCTGTGTCTGAGGATATAGTGTGAATAAACTGCCAAACATTCAGTGCTTGGCCAGATCTAGAGTAGTTGAAACTCACAGAGATCTGGAATATTGGTTTATCAGGTAATCTCCTGCCTTTCTCGGACTGCAGAATGATGATATCAGAGGGTCAGGAATACAGGTTCAGCGTATCTTATTTGAAATTGTCTGTGAATGCCGCAGCAGTCATGATGTCATCAAAGCTATCATTCTTCTGTTTCTCATACCTTACCAAGCATACAAGGAGGCATCGAGCCTCATTTTCTTCCTGTAAAAATACACAAACCCCACATTAAAACAGGGCCAGGTCTTTTCCAACATCCAGTTCATATATTTTTCCATTTGATTTGAGATAAATTTGTTCGAGTTCCATCATGCCAAAATATATCCACAGCATATTGCTCACAGGCATTCACATTTAGAAAATTTAAGAGAAAGGCTGCATGATTTAATGCATTATGTGGAAACTGGACATACAACTCTTCTTTATTTTTTGAAGTTGTGTTTTCAAGGAGCCAAGGGCAAGTTGCACAATTCTCTGTTCTTGAGGATTATAAGGAATACCTGTTTTGTGTTCACTTTTCCACTGGGGAAAAAATTACTGCAATGTTTTACTAATTTACCTGGATATATTATCCATTTTTAAAATTTGAAAAAGTGCCACACAATCAAATTTCTAGGACACAGGAGACTTCAAACATTTCGTAATGATTAAATCTTGATTATAATCTGAGAACTTATGTTTACTGTAAAAAATAATTATTTCAAAAATATGTGTATATTCTAATCACTAGTACCTATGAATATGATTGATTCCTATGGCTGTTAATGAGAAGTATTAGTAGCCAGATGGGTTGATGAAATTTCAAGAGCCTTTAAATATGGAAGCAGATAAGTAAGTGTCAGAGTAATTGTTGGTTTTGGAGACAAAAGAGGGTTACAGTCAAGTATTAAGGTCCTCTAGAAGACTTATGAGACAAGATAATATGTTCTTCTCTAAAATGTGCAGAAACGAACAACCAACATCTTACACTTAATTTCTTGAGATCCACTTTGATCTTATACCTGGATGTATGAGACAATATCCATGCATTGCTTTGATGTGCTGTTTTTGGAGTAATGAGTTTTTTTCAGAGAGAGGAAACTGGTATAGCACATAATCTTCTCAACTCAGTTGTAGACATTGATAACTGACTCAGCTTTCCATTTTCTCTGTCATCATACAGACATATTATATAATTTATCACTTAAGGAATTGAAATGGTGTATATGAAGCATATTGCTGACAGAAAATAAGTCAATAAGAAATGAACATGATAAAAATAATAGTACTTGCTTAATATTGTGAAAGTCAGTTTGCTAAGTTGGCACGACCTAGAATAACCTTTGATTAGCATGTGGTCCCATCCTGGATGGGAGGCAAGATTGTCTTAATATATATGGGCATATCCAGACTACAGTGAGCGGCTCCATATTTTAGGCAAGGAACCTGAACTCTAACGATTGGAGAAATCAAGCAAAATGTAAGAAACAAGCATGTGTGACACATTCATTTTTGCTCTGCTCTTGAAGAAGGATATGACCAGCTTCCTCAGCTTCCTGCCACCTTGACTTTCCCTCATGACAGGTGTAACTTGGAGTTGTGATCTAAAAGTAAACCCTTTTTGGGGCTTAGTTTTGTCAGGATATTGCATCAAACCTGAAATGAAGCCAAAATAATCATCTTCATTTTCATTTGCAGCATTGTGAAATAAATAACATATGGTAAATACAAATCTTGAGTCAGTGTATTCATTAGAGATGGCAGCTTCTAAACAAAGATGGTAGTGTTAGGGATGGAAAAGAGAAGGTGACTTGGAAAATGTTTAAGAGAAGAGTCAGAAAAAGGTTGACTGGTAATGAAAGTAAAACATAAGGAATACATTTGCTCCTCATTTTACATGATAGAATATGTTTCACAAACATCAACTGTGTGTTGATGACCCATGTCAATTCAAACTGATGGCCATTTGAGAGAATGTCTCAAATGCACAGCCTTTCTCCACTTAAAGTGTTAAAATATTGAACATCTCTGTGCTGAGCTACAAGAGAAACAGATTCAGTATCAGACAAGCACATATACCAACTGTCCATGGCCTGTGTGATCTTCATAGCATCTTCAAATCTATGTAATAAAATTTACTGCCTCTTTCTCTCTGGTAGTATGATGTACCACATCTTTAATAAATCCTTGCCCAAAAGGGAGCCACAATGCCCCATTATTGTAGGTGTTTTACTCTGATAATTAGCTTCTGTTTTTAGCCTGTTTCAAACAGGAGAGTTTCTTTGTTGCTATGGATCCTGGACTTACTCTATTTTGTTAATTCTTGGACATAATCCTCTACTTCAACCAACAGTTGCTAAAGTATATATTTTCCTTTTCCTTATTTCATTGTAACAGACAAGCACTTACATAGTGAGAGCATATTTAGGCTGGCAACCTGCTGAAACCAGTCCTTGCACCTCTGCTGATTTTAATCCGCATAAATTATCTAGACAAAGTAAATGACTATGAACCAGTTGGAATTCCTAATCAACCAAAATTGCAGCCAAGTAAAAAAGTAGAGGAAGCAACAACCTTACATAGTTGGATTTAAATGTGCAATGTAGTTGAATGTAATGTGGCAATCAGTATACAATAGGGAGCCTTGTGAAGATCTCTACATGCTGAACATAAATGAAACAAGCAATTCAATCCAATATAAACTAATGTATTTGGGGGCATAATTTTGGATCAGTCAATCCTAAAGAGTATGAATTCTGTGAAAATTCAATTACATCAGAGAAAGGACAAGACCTACTACAATAATTCACATTTATAATATATATATATTTTTTTTCATCCTACCTGCAGTTTCCCTGTCCTCCTCTCCTCCCAGAGCATCCTCATCCGCTCTCTGTTCCCAGCACCCAATCCACTCCTCCTCCATTTCTATTTCACAAAGGACAAATCTCCCATAAATATCATGGGAACATGAGCCATCAGGATGGCGGATCTTAATGGTAGAGCACTGAGACTACTGGAAAGGGGAACATTTTGGGTCAAATAAAAATCTGTCACAAGGAAGTCTCCCAGGAATCTACAAGGATGACCCCAGCTAAAACTCTTAGAAATAGGGGATACATAGCCTGAATCGGGTATCTGTTGTGACCAGATTGGTACTTTTCCCAGTTGTCATCAGAGACAGTTCATCCAGTAACTAATGATTCACTTTTAAGCAAGTTTGCATTTTAATTTATTTTAAATTATAAAAAAGGCACTGACAAAGGAATAGAAATAAGACATCAAGACCGGGTTACAAAAACCCATAAAATAAAGTAGTTTGTTTGGTGTTATTTATGTATATGTATCTAAATTGTGTGGAGATTTATAAAATTTGTTAAACTTTAATCGTATACATACCTATATAATTACCATCTAAGTTAGGTAGAATACCTACTTCCATTAATCAATTAATTGTGCATTAACCACTTGAAAGCAAGCCTCACTGGCAACTATAGTGTTCATCTCTGGTGCCACAGAGAAATATGGCAGGTACTAGAATTTCACACATGTAAACCAGCATTGTATGCATTCTGTGTCACCTCTAAGTAGCGCTGGAAGAGGTACACACATATCTCAGTGTGTTCATCCATTATTCCACTTATGGACGTTTAGGTTGCTTCTAATTTGCCGTACTTACAAAGTTTCACTGAGCTGTCTTACATGTGTCTTTGTTTTTAGAAACAAGCTTTAATGTGTTTTAGGCATTACTGAAAGACTAGGTATATCTTCGATACTATGGAAGATGGTCGAATAGTTTGTCATTACAGGCATTGATATTCCCACCAGCGAACACTGTGATGGCACTATCTTGTCATACCCTTGCCAGATCTTTATGTTTAAATGTACTATTCTGCGTGAAATGGGAAACAGGAAAGAACCTAAAAGATATGCATAGTACCCAAGAGAAGAGAAATGAGGCAAGATCCTCTGAACAGATGGGGAACACGGCAAGGGGTGGGGGGAGTGAGAGCTGGGAAGAAGAAAGGGGGAGAAGAGGAAGAGAGAGTAGGTCATGGGGGAACAGGAAGGTTGAGTGGGGGGGGGGTAGGATAGGGGAAAGAGGGAATCATAGGTTAGAAGACAGATCAGGCACCAGTGTGACCTCTAGTGATCTAAAGGGATAACACCAATTGGCAAGCTAAGCAAGAGTGTAGAGACCACCTCGAATGCCCATTCCTGATAATGAACTTGATGTCTATAACCATCCGGGAGCCTTCATCCAGTGACTGATGGAAGCAGAGGCAAACACACACAGTTAAACACTGAACTGAACCCAAGGAACCCAGTGACAGAGAGAGAGAAGCAATGAGGAAATTGGCAAAGAATGGGCTGGCAAAACCAGCAGAGACAGCTGTTCTGAACAGGGGAGAGCTCTTGGACCCCAGACTGACAGCAGGGAGGCCAGCATGGAACTGATCCGGATCCCTGAATGTGAGTGTCAGTGAGGAGGCCTGGACAACCTATGAGGCCCTGAGCAGTGGATCAGTGTTTTTCCCTGGAATACAAACAGACATCGTGTGTCCATAGCACAAAGAGGGATGCTTTCTCAGCCTGGACTCTTAGGGGAGTGCCTGGACCCTACCCTGAGTGAAATAACAGACTCTAGATATCCTCTATGTGAAAGGAATTGGCAATAGGGTGGGAGGCTGGGGGCGATGGGAGGTGCGGTAGGAGGGGAGGGAGAGGGAACTGGGATTGACATGTAAAACAAGCTACTTAAAAGTTTTTTAAAAACTAGTTTGTGCACAAATGAATGTGTAGAGACAGGAAAGCAACTTTCAGATTTTCTTTTAAAGAACTGGTGAGTTCCGAAGAACATATGTGCTCTCATTTCAGACCATGGTAAAGGAGACTTGGGCTGCGAAAGGGGTGTAGTATGTAAAGTATGTAAAAAAAAAAAAGAGGTAAGTTGCATGATGAATACACAACGAAAAAAGAAAATTATAGACCAATCTACTTGATGAACATAAATTCTAAAAATAATATACTTGTAAAACAATGTTAGACATGTGAAGGGTTATTAGATATCAGAAAAATTAACTCCAGGCAAGGCATAGTGTCACATGCACTTAAAGGCAGAAACACAGGTATCTCTGTAATTTGAAGGCCAGTCTGATCTACATAACAAATAACAGGAAACCCAAGTTTGCAGAGTAAGAGCCTGTTTCAAAAAGAAAGGAAGA